TACCAGGGAACATTAGCTATATCTAGCTACTCAACCTTTGTAATATACGCACCCTAACCGTGATCAGGAGACTCAAGCTCGTATCACGGTACCATAAATATATATATAAATTCTTTCCTAATGCAGAAAAATAAAACAAACATCCGTTATGTCGTTCAACTGTTTTAGTTGACAGGACATGCATCCATGTAGGATTTAACTTTTTTAGTTAATCCATTCTGTATGTATGAAGGGGTAGGACTTAGGTTTTTGATCTAATCCATCCCTGATATGTCACCATCCCATACCGGTACATATAATGCAAATGATCCACCAGTGATGCACATTCATTAGAACATCAAGTATATCCATGAACCAGCATAATAGAAAACAGGTATTATTAAAATCCTATTATGCATCCAGTATATGATTATAATCATAAAACTCCTGTTAAATTATTATATTACTGTTAAACAATTTAAATTATCCACATCCATCCAATTGACAAAACAGAAACTAAATCAGTTCATCAATTAACAATCATAGCAGAGTATAATGATTATCAGACTTATGAACTGAGCACAATATACCATTCAAACCAAACCATACCCTCATACTAGTTCATTTAAATCATTAAAACAAAGACTAGTAATGCAAACCTCCTTAACCCCCTGACGGCATAAAAATTTATGTTTGCATCATATGACGTCTTTTAATCCTCCAACTTAAAACCTGTGCTTGATACAGTATAACACAGAGAAGTCAAACTGTACCTTATATAAGTCCTTAATGGTACAATATACTAGCCCATTTAACTGGTGAAAACAACCCAGTAGTTAGAACTTCCTCCACTCCTTACAGCATACAACTATATATATTTAAAATTGCATGTCAACCACAACCACAACCCAACCAACCCTCTTGAGACTCATATATATCCTAGATATCATTGCTATAAAATCCCAACAATATCCGTTATATCAGTTCATTGAATTAGCGTAAACAACTAGCCTTTCCATCTCCCTTCCTTTCTTCCAGACAACATACACATTAATAATGTTTATGTTCATGATGCCCCTTAGAATTAAACCCTAGCATAAACCAACTGTTTAAAGGTTCCAATAGGTAAATTTTTAAGTATTTAGAACTCCCTTTATTTTCCAGAAATTTCGTTTAAGGCCCCAAAGGCAGAAAAATGCCGAAAATACCCCCGAAGGGGTATCTGTTCAAAGGAGCCGGCTCCCCCCCATGAGAGCCAGCTCTTTATCTTCCAGAGCCGGCTTTCCCTCATGGAGAGCCGGCTCTACTTGCTTGGGAGCCGGCTCCCTCACTTAGGGAGCCGGCTCTCTCTCCTTGAGAGCCTGCTCCTTCATCTCTGACCTTCATCTTCGGTTCCAGTGCCATTCCAGCCATCCGTCCCACCTTTGATACAGATCTTTAAACTTCCTAGAGTTCAATTTACATCCACACAGTCATAGAACCTCCTCACATCCCCTTAGGATTTGATTTACAGAAGCTTAAATCCTTGTCGCAGCAGTTGAAGCAAAGAACAATTTCATAAACACAAAAACGTAAAAACAGATTTCAGCTTGGTTCATTATGCATAAATAATCGTTTTAAAGTTTAATTACATTCCTAGCGTTCCGTCTAAGTTCCTAAAGTCCTAGAAACTCTTCATCTTCCACTATAAATTAATTTACAAAAGTCTCAATTCATACACAAACACAATATGCAGAAAACCGATTCCAGTTCTTTAAACACAACAAATTACAGTCTGTTACACATGCATCAACCATTAGTTTTAAAGTTGAATTAACCCTAGAGACTATAAAGAATGCACAGAACACAAGTTTACAGGAAAGAGATAGTCTGAAACTTGCCTTTAGGTTTCGGTTTGAAACTTTTCAACCTCCGTCTGCAAATTCCGGCAAACTCAAGACCTTCCCTTCCTCCTCTGGTCATTGCCTTTTACCTCTGTTACTTCTTAGCTCACCACGAGCAATTCCCTTACTTCATCTCTCAAATCCCCCCATCTGTTTATTCTCAAAACAAATTCCAGAACCTCTGTTGTCCCCTCTCCAGATATAACGTGAATAGGGTTTTCTCAAAACCCTTGCAGACATAAATTGTTCTATATATATAGGCTCTATCAAACCCTAATCCTAATTCCACCACTCATTATGTCGGCTACCACTTATATATCTACAAATTAAACCCTAACTTAAATATCACCCAAACCTAGTATTAAACAAGTGCCCAACACAATCACGTTCATAATAACTATATCTGTATTAAATAACCAACTAATTAATTATACTTAAAACAAATACAGGAAAACAAATAAATAAATATAAAATAAATCACTCAAAACACATACCAAATTTCAAGTCAATAAATAATTAAATGCTTTAAATTAACCAATAATTAAATTAAAAACAATTACAATGAATTTAAACAAACACAATTATCAATTAAGCAAATAAAAACCCTTAAACACATAGCCAGATAAATCATATTTAAAATGCACATAAATCAACTAATCAATAAAATGCACATAAAATAAATAAAGAAATTCCAGTTATATCCTTTTAAAAATTAGGGGTATTACACTAATTGAAACCCATGAAGTTTACAATTAGTATATTGGATTTTCAAAAGAAAAATCCAGTTTTACATCACTAAGAGTCATTGACCATGGGTTTGAATCCACGCCCTTCTAAAACAGAACATTGATTTGGTATCTGTGTTAATTTCACCATTAGGAAGAGTACCCAAGGGCAGAGTACCCACGAGAACATTACCCAAGGGAAGCTTACCCAAGAAAAGATTACCCAGGGGTAGAGTACCCATGGGAACATTACCAAAGGGAAGATTACCAGATGAAAGATTGCTTAAGAGAAGATTACCCAAGGGAATATTACCTAATGGCAGAATACCAACATTACCCAGGGGCAGAGTACCCACGTGAACATTATTCACGGGAACATTACCCAAGGGAAGATTACCCGAGGGAAGATTATCCAAGGGAACATTACCCAATGACAGAGTACCAACATTACCCAGGGGCAGAGTATCCACGGGAACATTACCTAAGGGAAGATTACCCGAGGGAAAATTACCCAAGGGAACATTACCCAATGGCAGAGTACCAACATTATCCAAGGGTAGAGTATCCACGGGAACATTACCCAAGGGAAGAGTACTGAAGGGTAAAAAAATAAAATAAAATAAAATTCTACTATTCAATGAACAGTACCTGCGGGTACTATTGACACACAAAAAATAAATAAATAAAAAATAATTATACTGTTTAATGAATAGTACCCGCGGGCTCGGGAACAATGCCGGGGGCAAAAAAAAAAAAAAAAAAAAATTTACATTCCCAAAGTTAGATGAGCAAGCTTGGGAATGGGGGGCAACTGATAGGGAAAAATAAACATAACCTATCTTGACCTAACGATAGAGGCAACTAAGTGTTGACTAGCCGCCAGATCTTTTCTACTTTTGAAAGATAATATTTCGTCATCAAGAATAACGATTTCTATTGGATAAGTTCCGTAGGATAATGACAAATTTTATCAAGAATAAGATTTCCATGTGATAAGTTCCATGGGATAAGGATTATGATATTCCCTTATCAAGAATAAAGGAAGTGACGATAAATAGGGAGACGACTCGGGAATAAGGTACGACAAAAAAACTATTATTAAATCCCTACCTTTCTTTTAGACCTCCGGTGACTAACTTGATCGTCGGAGAGTTCTTGGCAGGCACCACACCAGTGCCGTCAAGATTCATCGATCTTCTACTCTTTTCCTTGCAGGAAAACGGTGTCGTATCGGACCGCGTAGATTTCACTCTCAACAGTTTCCATTAAAATGTGCTTTTAATAATTACTAAATTTAATTCAATAGAGCTTTTGAATAAACTTACAGAGTTTTTGAAACTTTTAAAACTGTATTATGCATAAAAATTGAATATTTTAAATAACTTTTTTTTATTTGACAATTTTATTTTTTAATTTTTTATAAAGTTAATTACGTTCATTCTTTTATAAAATTACTGTTATTAAATATGGTAATATTTTGATATTATTATAAAATTAATACTAGAAGTGTTTTAAATGTATTATTTAACAAATAAATTAAAAAATAATTTAATTATAAAATGTATGTTTTTACCCTCCCGTTCACAATATATTATTATTATTATTATTCTGACAAATCTACTAATAAAACTCCAAAAGAGCTCTGAGTCCCCATCCGAATTCGACGTGTGCCACCTGAATAACCACCAAAATAAAGCGTAGATATACCTGAATATGGAACTGGGATCATTTATATACAAAATTTTCAATTAATTTATACAATGTTTACAAATATAATGAACTTTGATTGAAGGAAACTTAGAAAATCTAGGTTGTTGAATCGGGGTTTTGGCTTGAAGTATTCCCCTCTTCTAGAGAGAAACAGAATGAATTTGTTGAGCGAAAGAACGAGTGATTGAGAGAGAATGGTGGTCCAATAATGAGAAAGAGAGTAGGTGGGTCGATATAGAGAGAGAAAGACACGAGAGAGTGTGAAAGAAACGTGAGAGAGAGAGAGCATTTGTCAGATTTAGGTAGAGAGAGATTGAGTTCGTGTGTAGTCGGTAGAAGAAACGACATCGAGTATGTTTTAAAACGGTAGGGTTTTTTTGCCTCATGATGAACCACAGAAGATTAGCGTTCAGTTTTAATTCTTCAATCACAAAATGTCGTTCCTAAAACTTTTGGACATGTGTGTATATCTATATATATAATGGACGATGTTATTTGTATATTGATATATATATATATAGATATATACAAATTTGTGTCCAAAAGATTTAAGACATGAATCAATTCTTTTTTTTTTTTTTAAAATCTCCACACATTGATCTATATAACGATATACATCTCAGAAGACAATTAACCCTCCCTCCCCCGTCCTCCGCGCCCCCCCCCCCCCCCCCCCCCCCCCCCTCTTCTCTCTCCACACACACACACACACACACACACAATACAGTCTGCAACAACCGAATCTATCATGGCGTTTCCGTACATGGAAGCTGTTGTTGGTATGATTTCTATCTCTAAACCTCTCTATTCCTATATCTGTATTGCTTTGTTGCCTTTATTTTGTGGAGCCTTTTTATTGTATTCAAAATTTTCCTCCTCTTTCAAATTTTTTATTTACCCCTTCACTGAAATCTATTATTACTGCATTATTCCATTTGTAAATGAACCATTTTTGAACCACTGATGTAGCACAATACAACCACACGTATTCATTTTGAATTTTAAGTATAAGAGAAAGAAAGTTTAGAAATCTTTCATAGTTAATTGAAAGTAGTTCAAGAATCAATATACATATACACAATTACATACATTTTTACAAAATCAGCTACTCCCGTGTCCCAACTTATGTTTCAAACAAGAGGATGTGTAGTACAAGTTCTGGGATGTAATTAGTATTTTGTATTTCCTTCTCTTTCCAGTTTTTTAACTTGTTTAATTCGTAAAGGTAATTTTGTAATTTTAAGGGATCAGTGTGCTTCATTTTGATGGTTTGAGAGCTTGTCCTTCATTTTGATAGTTTGGGAACCTAATTGTTGCGTTTGATAGTTGAGTGATGTATGTTACAATAAGTTGATAGTTCAAGAATGTAATATTGAATTTACCTTAACTGAAATTAATATTTTGGACCCAGAGAAAGGCATATTTTAATAGGTATAAACCATGAAGATACAAGAAGGGAAAAAAAAAAAAAAATTGTATTCTTAAATTTCTTTCACATGTATTAATTTCTGTTTTTGGTTGATATATGGTAATGTGGTGCTTGTTTGTTGCTCTCTCTTCAGAGTATAGAGTTTGTTTGGGGCTATATTCTTTCTTGTTAACTATTGCCTTTTCAATTCTTTATGTTTATGGTTTCTCAGGTTTTATGATATTCATGTATCTCTTTCACACTTATCTCAAAATGCGGCAACATGCTGCTCTTAAGCTGCCCACACTTCCAAAAACTTTGGAAGGAGTGATCAGCCAAGAAAAGTTTGAAAAATCCCGAGCCTATACTCTTGATAGAAGGTTTGTTTCACAACAGTTTACTTTTGTACATTTATTGAAGCTTTCTTCATGCAGATTTATCTGCTCTTGTTTTCTTTTTTCGTTTCTTTTTTTTCCCAAAAGTTCAAGCAACCGGGCGTGCAACCATAATATTGCCCCCAATAGGGCTCAGACACTCAACCTCCCGTTTGGGGAGGAGGGATCATGACATTTGTGCTAATGCCTATTGGTGGTTATTTATCTACTCTTATTACTAATGTAGTCTTTTTATTTTGGTTTGATTTTTCTTCTTTAACTTTCAGCCGCTACGGTTTTGTTCGTAATTTGGTAACTATAGTGTTGGACTGTGCAATTTTGTTATTTGGGTTATTGCCCTGGTTGTGGAAGGTGAGTGGTTTAGTGGTGGGTTATGAGGTTAGAGTATTCTTGAGTTACTAATCTTTTTTATTTGTTTATTAGTACAGAGATCAGGAGACTTCCTGGTGTCTGTTGGCCTCAATGCAGAGAATGAAATATTACAGAGTCTTGTATTCTTAGCTGGTGTTATGATTTGGTCACAGGTACACACAAGAACTCTCCTATTTCATTGTGTAATGTGTACAACAAAATTCCACTAGAACTATTTTAGGTTGTCTTTGGATATCAAGACCTGCTTAGGAGAAATGACTAAAGATCAGATATACACATATATAATATGTATATTGATTGTAATAAAAAGGCTTATTGGATATATGTGTGTATGTGTGTGCGTCCATCAGTAAAATCCATATTTGGAACTAGGAAACAATCTTATGATTTCACTTGGGAAATATGATTAAATCTAAATTGAGTCCTTTTATATGATTTTTTTTCCAAAATGCATTGGGTTTGTAATATATTTATTGTTTGTCCATGGTTACCATTTAATTTCAAATTAATAGTTTTTTTTGGAATGAAATCAAAATGCAATGACCATGATATGTTTTTGAAATTCCTCTACAGATTACTGATTTGCCATTTTCTCTGTACTCAAGTTTTGTGATCGAGTCCCGCCATGGTTTCAACAAAGTCTGTATCCTTCCTTCGACCTTTCGTCATGTTTATGACACTATTTTTTTTCGTCTGTTCTCTTTTCTTTTTGGTTGAATTGTTTACTAAATTTTATACATTTATGTTTTACAGCAAACAATATGGTTATTCATTAGGGACATTATCAAAGAAATCGTCCTAACTATTATAATCGGGCCACCTATTGTGGCTGCAGTCATTGTAATAGTACAGGTAGAGTAATTTGTTAGTTTCCAAAGTGAAGTGCTACAATTCACTTGCTGTATGTTCCTATATAGTTTGAAGTTATTGCCATGTTTGGATTAATAGCCTGCTATTTTTGGATTTGGTGTTTTGCAGAATGGAGGTCCCTATTTGGCCATCTATCTTTGGGGGTTAGTGTTTGTTCTATCGCTTGTCATGCTGACTCTTTATCCTATTTTAATAGCACCACTTTTCAACAAGTTCACACCAGTGAGTATTGGAATTTATTTCTCTCAATTGTTGAAGAAATCCTACCGGGCAATGTATGGTTTAACAATAATTCAATTTCATCTTCCAACACATATATAGCTTCCAGATGGAGAGCTTAGATTGAAAATTGAGAATCTTGCTTCATCGCTCAAGTTTCCCTTAACAAAGTTGTTCGTTGTTGATGGATCCACAAGGTCAAGCCATAGCAATGTGAGGATTTTTCTTGGTGTATTGAAAAAGGAATACGCATCTTTAAAGTTTATGTGCTTCTCTTTCGGTAAATAATTTTTTTATAAAAACATAGAAATGTTATAAAATTTCTATGCTCTATTTTTTCTCCCTTGATAATTGGAGTTTTGGTTAAATGAAGTGTACAACATTAATTGTAAGAGTTAAAGTTTACATTTGCTTATTGATTTCCAAAGATCGTTTTCTGAGATTGAAGTTTCAGACATAAATAAATGTTCAGTTAAATATGATCAAGAATACTAATAACTTTAATAGATGCTCAGAATGAATAACTAAATGCTTTAGCCAAGAATATTGCCATGTAAATGTCATAATGGTGACTTTTGATTCTTTCCCAGTTACTGGAGATCAGAATATTCTGTTTGTCTCTCAGTACCTGCAGACTGCTCTAATTTGAGTTTCTGTTGTATTTTTATTGTGAAGTAAAATTGACTTTGTGCAGGCATATATGTATGGATTCTTCAAGAACAAGCGGATCGTCCTTTATGACACATTGATTCAACAGGTGTGGAAGCATATCAGAGTTGAAAAATAATGATGCTCATTTCCCTATACTCTGTTCATTAGGCTTGAATTGCTGAACTTATGCATATTCTATACGGAAAGCACTATTTTCACCTACTTTTACGTGATATATAGAGCATTTAACGTATTGGTTTGGTTATGATCTATGTTTAAGCCGACATAGAAAAATGAAAAACCATCTCTGAAGATCCTCTCTCTCTCTCTCTCGCGCGCGCGCACACACACACACATGAGAGCGAGCCCGCAAACACAAACAAAACCTTGCTCTTGTAGCATGTCATAAATTTATGTATTGGCTGATTTATATATGATACAACATCCTTTAAGTTGAAGAGTTTCTTGTAATTGTTGTGGTCATTTCCTCATTTTTGTTTCTATTGGGACTAGGACTGGTTTAGAATTTTATTATATGGATCCTGAAGATATATCCCTCATCTTCTTTTCTATCTTTTTGCAAATAATTTAACTCATTTATACCTAGTTCACTAATAAGAAAATAATTTGTATGTTTAGTTAGACATGACTAACATGGTAGCATATGTGGTTTATTTAGGTCTGCCTAATGACCTCAGAAATCTAAAAATAATGGTATTTAATGCTAACGCGTGTTCAACATGATTGTGTCAGTCAATCTTTTTATAAAACTTTGCATACTAAATTTTGCAATAAGATTGCTCTTTTCTATTTTGCTATATGATAAACTGGTATTTAATGCTAACGCGTGTTCAACATGGTAGATATGCTCTTTTCTAATTTGAGTTTCTTGGTAACCTGCACTTATCTCAAACTAGTGTGAGGTTCTCTAGACCCAAAAGAACTGAAACCTTTGTCGTTTTTTTATGTTTTCATCTTTTGGTGAGAGAACACCAGTTAAACACACACATGTTCCCTTTTTTTTCTTCTCTATAATTGTATTCCTAAAAGGCTTGAAGTATTCATATCTACTGAAATACATTTTATGGGAGAGTTCAAGCTGATTGTGTGAATGAAAGATTTGATGAATAATATTCTGTCACTTATGATTCACAATACTCCTTTGGGATCCTTACATATTTGATACATTTTGAATTTGGACAAAGCGGTACCTTGATTGTTTAACTCCTCCCCAACAGTCCCCCTCATCCTTCCTATTACTCCCTAGAATGTGAGGTGAGTGTTCAAGTCCTTCATGTTAAACAGCACTCCCCCACCCAAAATAAGAGTACTACTAAAATAAAATAAAATGAATTCATATGTAAAGTCTTGTAGATACACATTTTTGAGGGTTGCAGTCAGTCACGTGTTAAAATGCCCTATCTTTTCCTTTTTCTTTTTTTTTTCCTCTTCTGTTTTATTGATTATTATTCTTTCAGTTGATTAAGTGATTTAATGCAGTCCAAAAACGATGAGGAAGTCGTTGCTATTATTGCACATGAACTGGGTCATTGGAAGCTTAATCATACAATTTATTCTTTCATTGCTTTTCAGGTATGCTTTAATTATATATATCATTGTTACATGTGCATGGGTACTGGTGTAGGATGTTGTTAGTTTATAAGTATTCATTGTTGTTGTTGTTTTTTTTTTTTTTTTAAACTAGAGCCATTGGTATGCGAAATTGTGAAGGTCACACCTGGTTTCATCTTGAGAAGAGGCTCAAGGAAAACTTGATGCATAGCATTATGGCTCCTTGTGCATGGTATCAAATTATTGATTCATGAAGTTCTCTCCAATACTAATTAAATTCAGTAAATATATGGTCTGTGAATATATTTGGTGGAGGAAAGCTAATGTGTAGTAGAGGATTTTGTTGTCATTTTGCTATTATTTATGACTTCGCTCAAGCAATCTGCTTCTCCATGGTTGTTCAATCCTCCTGATCTATGCTTGATCAGTTGAATTGCTCAGTTTGTCTGGTGATCTCCTTGTTATCTCTCTAGAAGGTCTTCAATCCATAACTTTGATTCACAATAATTATTTTGTTACCCAACCCATTCTCAAACGGCTTGATTCATTCTTAGCTTGATTCATTCTTAGCCTACACGCATGTTGACCTTGTCTTTAAGATGTGAAAAGAAACAATAATATTTTATTTGTTGCCTCTTTCCATCCCAATTGTCTCATGTCTAAAATTTCAAATGTTTGATAACATTAATATTTTTTAGGAGCTGCAATATTACACTTAAAGATTTCTTCCTTATTCTTCTACACAAATGCAGATTGTCACATTTTTTAATTTCGGAATATATACTCTTGAGAGAAACTCAAAAGATCTGTTCCAGAGTTTTGGTTTTGATACGCAGCCAGTCATCATTGGAATAATAATATTTCAGGTAATAATATGATTGTCTTAAAGTAAAGAAATACGGTTTGTTTATGTCAAACGCATGTATGCTACCTATACACATAGCTTGCTGCTGCGCTTCTTCTCTTAATACGTCTAGCTCTGTTGGATACTTTGGATCCATTACTCCAAGCTTTTTTGTTTCACATTTAGAAGATATTTCTATTGTTGCTTGACCTTCGTGACATGGAGAGCATGTTCGATGAATCACTGCTAAGTTAAGAAGGCTAAAGTTGGTGCAATGAGAAAATTAAATTATTTGCATGCATTGAGATTAAGAATTTAGAATTTGGATTTTTGTCAGTGTAATTTATACCCTTCTCTTTTAGAAGCTTTCTTGTGCTCAATATCTGTTTAATTTAATTTTCTCATCCAATTTGGTTTGCAGCATAAGATTGGATTTTCAGTTTTTCACCTTTTAGTTTCATAAAATGTCCATAATTAAGAATCAAGACCTCAGCAAATGTCTGTGATAAGTTAGTCGATATTTTGTTTCCAGATAAGGCTTTAAAAGCATGGTTTTGAGAATGTTAAATCATATCAGTTCTGGGTACTGAAATGAAGAAAAGTGATATGGTTTTCTAATACAAATTATATGGTATTTTTTAAAATAAATTTGCGTTGATCAACAGTTGATATATGGTTTTTATTCAATGGTTAATCATTATGTTAGACCTATTTAATACTGTACATTAGAAATGAAAAGGACGCCCTTAATGTCTCTTGTTCAACTTCATCACATAACCAGCCACCTTACACTGGCAACCTCCACCTCCTCTCCAATTATAACACTGAAACTTCAATTTCCTAACAAAATTATGTCTAGTGATTGCAAATTTTGATGGGGAAAAAAATTATAAAACTTAGATTAAGGAATTTAATTTTATGGCACCGAATGTTGGGCATCTAGGAGACAACATATGCGTAAAGTGAGTGTGGTGGAAATGCGAATGTTGAGACAAGTGTGCGGTAAGACTAGAAAGGATAAAATTAGAAATGATCACATTCAGGAGATGGTTGGAATAGCACAAATTGGAGATAAAATGAGAAAAAATCGGTTAAGATGGTTTGGATTTGTGCAAAGAAGACCTTTAAGTGCACCAGTTAGAAAAGTGATATGGTCCAATAATAGGGGAAGAGGAAGACCAAAGTTAATGTGGGTAGAGTTAGTAAGAAGGATATGATAGCATGTGGATTGACTAAGGCTATGGCCTTAAATAGAGCGGAATGGAAACATAAGATTCATGCAACCGACCCCAAGTAGTTGGGAAAAGGCTTGATTGTTGTTGTTGCTAAAAGGTAGAGAAATAAACCCGAAAGTTTAGAAACATAAATAGAGAGGAAGAGTAGAGACACTAGGAAATTATGTTCCTTTAGCCTTGTTATGGTTCTGGAAATGCTTGTAAAATTAGACCTGCTATATCGTCTTCCATACCTTGCAATGACTTCAACCATACTTAAAAACTTTGATACAGAAGCTAAAAAATCCTCCTCTATCTCTCTCCTTTTATTTTTAAACCTCCATCCAGTCAGACACAGACAATTGAATGTAATTTTGCACATGTGCCACACATAAGCAATTAAATAGAATGAATTACAATGCATGGAAATGACAGGTGATGGAAACAAATGGAGACATAAAATTCATGTGGCCGGCTCCATTCTTATGAGATTAATGTAGGATGATGATGACAAAGAGTTACAGTGCATCAAAGAATATAATTCCCTATGTGGATTTTGCAAAATTAATGGACTCATCGGAATTGATTTTAGACCGGGTCCAAGCTTATGTTTTCCGTTAGATTATCTAATTCCAGACTTCCAATTTATTTTCTGTTACATTTGACAAAATAAATACGTTACGGGTATAATTAGTTTCTAGGTCTCACGATGGCCCAAGGAACTCTTGATGCACAACAAACTGATATCCGTAATTAGGCAGCCCCATTTACATAAGCATTATATTCTGAGTGAATTTGTAATGTCAATGATTTTTGTTTTGGAGGAGGAAAAGGCAGATAACTTTGCTTTGTAATATTTTACCTGATCTTGTTGATTGCAGTACACCATAATGCCTCTCGAGCATCTTGTCAGCTTTGTTTCTAATATTGTAAGCCGATCTTTGGAGTTTCAGGTATTGTATGATATGCAGACAAGAATTTTGAGTTGTAATGCGTCCTTCGCAACAATTTTGTTTTGAACCTTGGCGCTATATAACTTCTTTACATGATCTTTTTACATAGGCTGATGCCTTTGCTAAGAAGCTTGGTTATACAGCAGCACTTCGAGCCAGCCTTGTGATCATGCAGGTAATTTTAGTTTTGTTCCCCTCATATCAATATATTGGCATGTCCTGTTTCTTTTCCTGCTGCTCTTCATATCAGTGACGATGATGGAACCCCTCCACATTTCTCTTATTTTCTCTCGCAAACGACGATTCTTGGTGTTGGTTGTATTATTTTCAGTTTTCTCTTTGGTTTGTTGTGGTCTGCCAATTGATTTGAACACATTTTGCAGTATTTTTAACTGTTGGGAAACATATTATAAATCTATCAGACTTATATCAGAACTTTTTTGATGGTATCATGACATACAATTCTGATTAGTAGTCTTAACTTTTTTCAGGAAGAAAACTTAGACGCGATGAACACCGATCCTTGGTACTCTGCTTATCACTATACTCATCCTCACATCGTTGAAAGATTGACTGCAATTGATGAACCTTATAGAAAGACACACTGAGGGAATCCTGAAGTGAACACATAATTAGTTCATTTTATACTTTTGAGTCAGACCATCATTTATACTTTTGAAGCCAAACGTTGTAAATGTGAGAATGGATAGCTTTAATACCACTTTCCTTATGAAATCCATTGGAAATGGACTAAAAATCCACGGAATTACAGATGAGGGGAAAAGGGAGGAAAAGTGGTAAAGGAAGTTGTAGCTTAATGTAACTAAATTGTACTTTTCCTTGTCAACAGTGACAGAACTAGATATCTTTGTTTTGAACTGTTCCACTCTTGCAATATATCTTGTTTCTTAGTATCTGAATAAAGAGTTTGGCAATTCAAAGATTGTGAGGTTGTGGCCCCAATTTGGTATTGGGTCATGTTGCGACCCAACGATCCGTTAAATGAATTTTGATTCGTTCTTGTTTGTGGGTCGTGAATTCTAATTAGTACTCTCTTGTAGTATAATATATATGGGAGTTTAGGGTTTGTAGTGGGATATTGAGACACTGAATAGAAAAGACAGTGATAACGAGTTAGGGTTTGTGGGTTGAAACTTGTAATCTCAAAATTTTCGCATTGTAAATTTTTTTTTGTCGAATCTTTATCGTGGATGTAGGCTTTAGCTAAATTTTTATGTTCTCATATGTTATAACAAAAAAATTTATGGAAGTTTCAACCTCATGGTAAACCTATGATGGGCAGTCAACAACTAGAATTACTACACTCTCTCCTAATACATGATGAGAATGAAAAGAAATTGTGGGTTTATTTGGTCAGTTTTTTGATAACTGAAAATTTTAAAAATAACATAAAAACTACTAAATATATGAGAATGAAAAGAAATTGTGGGTTTATTTGGTCAGTTTTTTGATAACTGAAAATTTTAAAAATAACATAAAAACTACTAAATATATATTTAGTTGACAAATTTTTGAAAACTGTTCCATGAACATTAAGTTAAAAAAAAAAAAAATCATATTATGAGAGAATTCTCTCTCTTAAAACTCATTTCGTTCTTAGAAAGTGCTTCATAAAACTAAATCAAAAAAACAAACAAACAAAAAAATTAGTCCATTATATGGTTGGTATATGCTATATTTTTTTATTATTATTGTTTTTAACAATTGGTATATGCTATTGAGAAAGGTGTGAACTTTGAAATTTTTTTATTATTATTATTATTTCCTCTCTCTTCTTAATTTACCTGACTTTCTTTTTCTCCCCCGCCCCCCCTAATGAACCAATAGGATAAACAAGTGCATGCATATATAGGGAATTATATCCGAATTTGTAAATAATCCTCTTGAAGTATATTTTGTGCACAATATTTCTGAATTATTACTTATCAAAAAAAAAAAAAAAAAATTTCTGAATTATTACATTTTATTGCAAAAGGCCCTAAACTATTTTTCATTAAATGACCATAATGCCATTTTTAATTGAATTACATTTTTCCATTTTTTATTATTAAAATAAATTTTGAATAAAAATCTATACTAATTTGTTGTCATATTCTCCATTAATTTTGCATAAATTTATCTTTAATTTTGAAATTAATTGTTTAAATAAAAATAATAAGAAATTTTTTTTAAAACAATTTAAATAATTTCTTAATTTTTCATGAATATATTGCATGAAAAAATGTATTTTTTTATTTAAGTAATTTATTAATTTTTCATGAATATTTGTATAAAAAAGGAGGAGTTAAAGCGAAGTATAATAAGTTTTAATATAAATAATAAAATTATAATAATAAGTTTAAGCCAAATATAATAAGTTGAACTCAACGAGATAATACGTTCAGACATCTAAGTGATTTGTTCTAACCTTAGTATCCCAGTTTTAAAATGGCTCTTTCTTGCACCACAACACACTTATATTTTAGTTCAACACACTTATATTTTGGTTGAAGTTATGTCACATTAGGCACTAGAGTCACTTTCACATGAGTATATTATCTTGTTAGTCTAATTACCTGGCTAGAAATGGCTTGGAATTTCTTAAACTTTGTTAATGAACCCTAGTGAAAACACCTAATGGACGAGGATGGGTGCCCAATTGATGACCACACTCGCCTAGAAGTGGTTCGTGGAAAGGCATCTGAACATACCAAACAAGTGGAGAGCAATTGATGACCGCACTCAAGGTACCAATGGCAATACTGACGATAAAAAGTGTTACTCATGTGATGCCTTTTCCAAACTGTTACGTAATATACATACATATAGTTATATGTATGTGTGTATGCCATAGACACGCACATATAAAATGCATGTCCACTCAACAAAATCTTTTTGCCGCATCTCTAAGGCTACTGTATTTCTTCTTCTTTTTTTGTTTTATTTTATTTTATATTTTTATCAACAATATTTCAAATAGATCTCATGCTATAATATCAATTTATTATGTTAATTATAGTTTTTCTTTCTTCTTCTGATATTTATTACCCGTTGAATTGATCGGTTAAAGAAGATATGTAATGATATTAAATTTTAAAAAAAAAATTATTAACCGTAGCTTATAAATCCACAAGTCAAATCATAAATTGAGACGCATTTTCTAGGGTGTTCACTCTCCCAAATGGGACATGGGTGAGAGAGGGTGGGATACATTTTCTAGAGCCTTCTTCACTCTCCTCCCAAATGTCCCATTTTAGATTTCGTGTTGATACTAAAAAGAACAAAATCAAGGCCCATCACCCCCATCTGATTCTGTATAAAAGACCTGTAGCCACACGATAATTATTTTATTCCGGTCGGCTGTCTGTTATATATATATATATATATATATATATATATATATATATATATCTTAGGCGTGTCCAACTTTACGAACATTGATGAGGGTGACCTTATCACCAAAATCAATTTAGGCCATTTGATTTTGATTGTAAAACTGGATCTCTAATGGTAGACCTCCCATCCAACTTGATTTTAGAGGCTTCTTCAACATCAAATAAAAGAATTGAATTTGATTATATTTTTAAAACTATTTATATTATTAAAATTCGAATTGTTACAACGGGTATTTGTCCCGTATCGAATTTGGATAGAAAGTAAAAGGAGTATAAATAGGTAGATACGCAGCAACAAAAAATGTAAATATCTCTTTAGCAAACAAACATTTTATTTGCAAAATATGGATTCATTATACATTGTTCAGATTTAGGAAAAAATTGCATCTTATTTAATTTTCATATTTGAAAAGAAATATTAAAAAAATAGAAGAGAAATTTTTAAATGCTTGAATAAGAATAATAATATGTAAAGGCTTGAATGATGCTTAAAACACTCATTCAGTTTTGGTATTTATATATTTAAAAATACACATGTTAATATTACAAGAAAGAAAATGAATAAAATCATTGCATATACTATGCCTAGACATATGTGTAAATAAAGCCAAATCCCATGAATCTAGTCTATCATATCTCGACTAGTATGGTAAATTACACCCATGATTCCTGTCTATCATCATATCTCGACTAACACTTCTTCTAAAGTTGATGCGTTGATATTTGAGACGCCTAACTTGGATAATGTATCCTCAAACACGGTCCTTTATAAATATATAACCAACGAATATGTTTGGTTGCATTAAATTGACTAGCCAAGACATAACAATGGCGTTTTCTTCAAACCACCGTACGTCTTATCCTACTCGGCTACTGTCTCGTTAGACCATAAACTATCAACAATGTCGACTTAGACCATAACCAACTAACCATGTCTCCTTAATATAGGGATTAAGTCAGATGCCTTGACTACATAAAACCGTCCTAGTTTGAAAAATCACCACTTTACTCGAAAATATTATTTATCAAACTTTCTAGAAAATTATATTTTTTCAAAAACTTTATTTCAAGTATGAAAAAGCTTGTAGAGCATAACAGAAAAGTTAATTTATCATCTATCATACACTTCAAATTAGTTATTTTAAGTGACTGAATGCTTGTGAACAATATTCATGTTAGTCGCAATTCTGGACCAAAACTTGACAAACATGTTGGATGACTAAAAAGGGTAATTTTGATTTTCAAAACAAAGATTATCAATGTTCCTTCGAGCTCTCTGCCAGAGCACCTGAGCAAAGTCATATAATACATGTAACAAAAGTGGGCAATAACTCCAAAGAGTATTCCTAGACAATTTTTTGTTGCATCTAACTTAAACTGACTTGGCGGTGTGATAATACATATATCACCAGAACTTTTTAAGATTTAGGGAAAGAAATGTTAACAGATAATAAAAAAATAAATAAAGTTGTACAGTTAGTACCTGGTGGCATATAACCAACGGATCCTCTGATTCCAACAGATTTGGTTTGGTTTCCACTATCGTTATAGTTAGCATCAAGAAGAAATCTTGATATCCCAAAGTCACCTACATGTGCAATCATGTCATCATCCAAAAAAACATTGCTTAGTTTCAGATCACAATGAATTATTGAAGTTTCGAAACGGTGGTGGAGATAATCCAGTGCACAAGCAACATCCATGGCAACATTCAATCTCTGAACAAGACTTAATTTTTTTGGTTCCTCGTATGCCTCGAGCTCTTCTTGATTTGGATGCAACCAATCATCTAGGCTTCCGTTGACCATGAACTCATAAATCAGAGCCTTGAAGTCATTATTTTGGTGATCAACACTTGGAACATGCGGTGATTACCTTGACAAGATTCTGATGCCTTATGTCTCTCAATATATATATATATATATCCCGCATCGAATTTGTAATAGTTTTGATTGGATTTGCTGATAGGTCAGCAGCGGCTACCAATATTTGTTTAAATTGAAATATTTGAAATGAATGACAAAAACAATACTATTAATACTCCACAGAAAGAACTATTTCTATGTATCAACGTTGGTTAAGAGAAAAATAATGTAGAAATTAATAACAAGAACACTATAAGAAGCCCAAAAGACGGGTCTCGTGGATGATGAATCTATAGTCTATTAATACAGATTCCAACATGATAAATTTATAGGCTTCAAGTTTGAATTTAAGGTAATCTTCAGATCAAGCTCAAGCCAAGCCTTAACCAGAAATGAACCTTGAGGCTTGAATTAATGAAGCAAGCCCAGATTAAACATCCATTCGTAGGCAGGCTTAAAGCTCCAGCTGAGCATGAACGTCATTTCTGATTGCACCAAGCTTGAAGAGATCATATTCAGCTCAGCTTCGTTCATTTCAACATATGCAAATATATTAATAAAAGAAACTCGTGTTTTAATATCCAATGAAGAACAGACCAAACAATTCAAATTTTATGCACCATTTTCTCCATATTTAGTATAATTGTGGCCGGAATTAGATAATAACATGTTCGGTTCAAGCATGTGATACACAATCAAACTATTACAAGATAGACATAGTCAGGTACTCTGCTTTTCTAAAATGAATGCAAATATTCAATTCACATAACTAATCTTGTGCTTCAGCATTAAAAGAAGAAAATATTATTACTCCACAACCGGGTAAAGATGCAGGACAATATTTATGGATCAAACTAAAATCCATTAGTACAACTTACAATAGGAAAAAAATAGTGTCTCATTAGAGGCTTCAAATACAAATGTTGTGCCACTTCTGAATGTTATGCAATACAGATGATGACATGGTCAGTTTGCATGGACCGAAAAATTTTAAACTCCTCTCTTCTATACAAGTGTGAACCTTTGTTCAAAACGGTATATAATTGTAGATAATAATTTAGAATTTTCTAGCATTGTATAAGATAATTCTTTGGAGTATTATAAAACCTAATGTAGAATAATTCCAACCGTTAGATCACTCACACTTCTACCCATATCACACTTCTACCCATCTTAATCATTCTTTGTAAAGCCTTGGCCTATATAAAGAGTTTTTATAATTAATACAAAGTGTCTACATTTATAATTGCATTAAATCCATTAGTACGACCCACTATAGACGAAAGGTACCAAAGCTCTGCAAATATGCATTAAGATGAGCGGTAGAACTAAAGAGCAAATGATAATTATCACTATGCACAAGTTGTTACGCCCCTTTTATTTTTATTAGGAAGATAAAGAAACTTCTCATAACAATTAATTATGGGTTGTTTCTTTCTTCCAACACTCTTATATTCTGTTTTAAAAGTTCCCCATTCCATATACAAGTGTGTAATTTTGACTAAATTAACTTTATTGAACCATTTTATAAAATATATAAAAATAAATAATTTTATAAAATAACTGAAATGACACTATTGGAGAATGTCCCTCTTATACAAAAAATACCCTTAAAAGTTTCAATTTGGTGCAACTAGGTTCTTCCTTAAGTTAACTAAATTATTGAATCATTTTATAAAATATATAAAAATAAATAATTTTATAAAATGACACTATTGAAGAACGGCCGCAATGGATAAGTAAAGAAAAAAACATAAAATAAAAATAAAATCATAAAAGAAATGTAAAGATAAAAATAGAAAATAAAAAATAAAAATAAAGTGCAAACTAAATAAAACAAAATTTTTACAAACTCGAAAAACCAGTACACACTGATATTAAGAACTTTTTATTTTTTGTTTAATAGTGTTGATACGAAAAATAAAATAAAACAAAGAAAAAAAAATAGTAGAAAAAAATAAACTGAAATCTCAAAAAATTTAAATTCTTGTACAAATTCTCAAAGTTTTTTTAAAAAAAATGTTTAGAGATATATATAAAGAAAAAAGTTTCAAAAAACATATATATATAAGGTAATGTGAACGTAATACCCCTATATTATGATATTAGTAACATATATATTCCCTCGGATATTTTTGGAAGAGTAAAAAAATAAAATAAGTATTACAACACTAATTTATATCGTAAGGGTTTTTGTGCATAATGGGTGAGAGAGGGTGGGATACATTTTCTAGAGTCTTCTTCACTCTCCTGAGTGTCCCATTTTAGATTTCCTGTTGATACTAAAAAGAACAAAATCAAGGCCCATCACCCCATCTGATTCTGTATAAAAGACCTGTAGCCACATGATAATTATTTTATACCTGTCGGCTGTCTATTTTAGACATATATATATATATATATATATATATCTTAGGCGTGTCCAACTTTACAAACATTGATGAGGGTGACCTTACACCAAAATCAATTTAGGCCATTTGATTTTGATTGTAGCACTGGGATCTCTAATGGTAGACCTCCCATCCAACTTTATTTTAGAGGCTTCTTCAACATCCAAATAAAGAGTTGAATTTGATTGTATTTTTAAAACTATTTATATTATTAAAATTCGAATGGTTACAACGGGTATTTGTCCCGCATCAAATTTGGATAGAAAGTGAAAATGGTATAAATAGGTAGATATGCAGCACTACTAAAACAAATATATATATATATATATATATATATATATATATAGTCAAGGCTTGCAATTGTATAAAAAAAGATAATAACAAATGAATAATGCATATAAGAAGTAATTTACCTTTTATGGTGATGTGGTCCAATAAAACCGTAACATGTGTCCTACACAACAATAGATTTGTGTATTTTTTTTTTTGTAAATCTGATTTGTCATAATAGATTTATACAAAAATTTTGAATTATTTATTTTTAACTTCAATGGGAAGGAGAAATGAAATATGTTGTTATGGCTATGTAAAATACACAACAATTTTATATATTGATGATGTGATATTGTATCTTAACATACTGCTGGAGCTAAAAAAAAAAATTACACATCATACATGGCAGTGTATATTTTACACAAAAGAGTATTTTAACAGACTGCTAGAGATGCTCTTACACCTACTTTTTAATTTGTTAACATGATAGAATTCATATTACGTATACAAAATTATGCATTTACATTACACAAAATCAAAACTCTAATATTGACGGTGAATAACAAGAAAAGATATGTAATTCTTATTCCTTTTTTTTTTTATGATATTCTAATGAGTCAATCTAGATTCAATCCAAGTATAATAAGAAGAAGATAGGGAGCAATGGAGAAAGAGAGAGAGATTGGCGGTGGCGGGTGGGACCTGGCGATTAGGTTTTGGGTAAATTACACTCAGACTCTATGACATTAAGATATTTTTCAATTAGTTGAAGATTTTAATTTTAACTTTTACTTACACCTTTTTTTTCTGCCTCTGACACATGTGAATTAACCCTTTTACTCTTAATTTTTTAATACAAAATATATGTAATTTTAAATGAAATATATGTAATTTTAAATGACAAAAAAACCCTCTCTCTAAATACTACAAAAAAACCCTTCACCACCGTTCCTCGCCGAACTCATTCTCGTCGGACTCGTCTCTATTCATCGTTGGAATCGTGACTTCTTTATCGCTGTTCGCTGCCGATCCTTGCTGTTCGCCGATTTCGGCTCGCCAGATCCATTTTCGGCCACTATCAGTCAGTGACGAAGCCAGGATTTCAAGTGAGGGGGGGCACACTGCCAAAAAAAAAAAATAATAGTACGGAGTATATATATATATATATATTACAACTATAAAATTTAAAAAGACAAAGAAGAAGAAAATTATTAAAATATAAAAGGAAAATAAAAATGAAAAAACTTTAATAGGAAATAGTTAAAAAGTTTCAATTGAGGAAGAAAAATTTGACTTTTTCTATTAAGAAAATTTAAGGAATGTGAAGGGTAAAAGAAAAAATAAAGAAAAAATAAGAATATAATTTTAGGAATTACAAATTTGAGGGGGGTACTATATAAATTTTGTCATATATATGGAAATTTTTTTAAAAAATTACCACATATATTATAGGTTGCTGGCCAATTCAGGGGGCACGTGCCCCCCCTAGGCCTTCATTGGCTCCGTCCTTGCTGTTAGTTCCTCACCAGGCTCCCTCTTCAAGGGTGAATGATTCGTACTTTAGGAGGAATTATTCCGCTGTTGTTGCGGCAACCGCTGCAGCGGTGGTGGAAGAGGAATCGGAGGATGAGGGTGAGTTGGAGGATTTGAGGTCGAGAGAGGAGAGCAGTGGACGGAGGAACAGGGATAAGCAGGAAATGAGGCAGCTGGCAAGGGCGATCGAGAGTTTTGGAGAGATATACGAGAGGGTTGAGGGGGAAAAACATAGGCAGATGATTGAATTGGAGAAGCAGGGGATGGAGTTTGTAAAAGATTTGGAGGTTCAAAAGATGTAGCTTTTTATGGACACTCGGGTCCAGCTTGAAAAGATGAAGCATGCAAAGAGTTCAGGATCCAATGGTGAGAGATCATTTTTTTCCGATTTATTACAATTTTGTGGATTCATTTTATAGATTTTAGATGTACATGTTGCATAGATTTAGTGCGCAAAAGGTATTCTGAATTGTTTGCTAGAAGATTGATCCCCATATTATTATTGTATCAATTTTTATTTTGGACTTTTAATTAATGCTGTGATGTTGAGCTGTACTTGTAAATCTTTTCTCTAACATTAACATTTTCATTTTTTGGGCAGAGGCATCAAAGTGTGCTGCCTGTGAAGTGGTAAATTTGGCTAGCGATAAACTGGGCGATACAAAGAACTTTGCCTCTGAGATGATGATGGTCTGGGGAGGAAGAAGAGGAGAAGAGGATAGTTTGGTTACAAAAATAATCAACAGGAGGTCAAAGGGTAATATAGTCATTTAATACCTTAAAAGTAACTAAAATGTTAAAGCATTAATTCAAATGTAAATGAAATTTAAAACCAAAATGTCAATCTAACTGATAAATCATCTAATCTCAGAGGGTCTAAGTGTAATTTATCCTTACGAGTTGGGTGGGTTATACCATGGACAATAGATTTCATTCATTTTTTTTTTTTTTTTTAAATTTGTGGGACACATGTCAATCTTTTATTAACACACATCACCTATATGTAAGGATGACATTTCGTGTTCCTGGTCATAATCATGTCGAAGTAAATAGGTAAATTCAAACTTAACCCATTTAATTTGTGTTAAGAACTCTCAACACTAACCTAATCTGTTTATTAAACAGGTAAATGTGTTAACCCGTTTAATGACCCCGTTTATCAAAACGAGATATTTAATATTTAATCAAATACTAAATAATAGAAAAATTTTGTCATTATTAATTCAAATAATCAAAATAAGAAGAAAAATTATAAGGCATACACAATGTTTAGGTTGAAATGACTTAATTATCTATAATAATTTGGTTTTAATAGGTAACATATTAAATAGGTAATATTTACAATTATAACATGTTGAGTTAAATGAGTCATAAATGGGTTACACGGATTGAACCCCTTAACTCTAACCCGACTAACATGTTGAGTTAAATGAGTCATAAATGGGTTACACGGATTGAACCCCTTAACTCTAACCCGACACGGCTAAGTAAACGGGTTAATCGTGTTGACCCTTTTATGACCCAAATCCGTTTATACCAAACCCAAACCCCTTTAACTTGTGTCATGTTGTAATTTGCCACCCCTATCTATATGTAGCCTAAAAGCATCTCCATGATTCTCAAACTCAAAATATAGCAAGTGGATGAAAATAGGCACACTCTCATGTTTTGAGATTGTCAAAAGTTTCAAAAATGAAAATAAAGGCATTCCAATGGGCTTTCAAAATATAAAATAATTATTGTGTAAAAAAATAATATTTTAAATGCAACGTACCATTGGAACATAATTGTAAAAATATAATATTTTGGCAATATAATTCCTCGATTTTACATGAAAATATAAAATTTTGCATTAAAAATATCCAAGACAAGTATTATCTAAAAAAAAAAAAACGATTTTTTAGTGACTAACAGCTCACATGAAGTCCGTACTGAGAGTAATCTAACGGTCAAAATTGTACCTCGCCCCCCCGGGACCTCGCTGTCCGCACACGCAAAACGCGCCCTAATTTGTATTCACAAATCATAACCGTTCGATTCTGCAGAGTATTCACACAAACCAGACAGGCCCACTATTAAATAATGAGCCAATGAAACATCTGCAATCTCCTATATAATCGAATCACATTCTACCACGTATTAGTGTCATAGGCTTTCTATGAGTTTAGCGGTAATCGTATCGATACCTCCTCTTCGGCTGCGACCTTTCAACGAAGATAAGACGCTCTCTCTCTCTTTACGCGTCTGCGCCTTTCGTCGACATTTCCAATATCTCTCTGCGTGTACTGATTCAGGTACGACTGTTTCTCTCCTCCTCTCTCTGACTCTGTCTATATATGCTCGTTTAAATTGTATGGTCAATCTTTTGTTTTGTAGAACAACAGTCGAGAGTTAGGGTCTCGGGAAGAAAACAACTGCTAACTTAGGGGTTGTGTTTTAATCTTGACTATTTTTTTGGCAGATCGGTGTTGATTTCTTGAGATTGTTCCGATCCGTCTGTTCGGTGAGTAGTTTGATGTTATTATTGTTTGATTTCTTATTTTTTTTACTCTTTAATGTTGAATTTGTCGATATATTGTTGATTATGTTTAGATCTATATTTGTTGCTGTATTATATGCCTGTGTTGTAGATCTGCTTCAATTTTACTAAGAAAAGGATTCAATTTTACTAAGATAATTCATGAATAATTTTTTTTTTTTTTTTTTTTTTTTTTTTTTTTTTTTATAAAAAATCTGTTGACTATCCTGTTAGTTTTATGTGCTGAGAAAATATATATGAAGTTTCTGAGTTGTTTTTTTGGTTTTCCAAAGATATGATGAAATTCAACACAAATTGGTCAACGTAATCTATATTTGGACTAGGCTTGGTTAGTAAAGTGTTTTTAGTTGCAATCAATGGAAAATTTAGGATCTCTTATTGGCAATTAACGGAGGGCTTGTGAAAAAAATCATGGAAAATTTAATTTTTATTTATTTATTTTATGTTTTTACAGAATTTGAATTGCTCGTTTGTATTTTACAAAGGATTTGAAGGTACAAAATACTTATCGAAAAGAAATTTGAAAGTATAAAACAAACACATCCCCTGATGAAGGGCCTAAATAATTGCTTCAGTTAGTTTCCATGGGGCAACCTAGTGCATTCTTATGTTTTTTTTTTTTTTTAGGAGCAGATGCAAAGAACATGATTATTGTATCTATTTTTGCTTCATCAAAGTTTGTTTTCAATTTGCCAAAGAAAAAAAGTTTTTGTCTGAATGGAACGATATTAGTTACTGATTTATGTTAAAGCTGCTGTGCATATATGTGAATTTGACAATTTGTGTGATAAGAATGATAGGAAATGAGTGCAGTTGCAATATAGAGCTACTAAATAATATATATGTGATGCATCCACACCCATGGTTAACTTTGCATATATGTGAATTTGACAATTTGTGTGGTAAGAATGAAAGGAAATAAGTGCAGTTGCAATATATAATATCTATGTGATGCATCCACACCCATGGTTAACATTGCAATCTATCAAAATTCTTGTCACCTGATTATGTTACTTCAATTTTCCCTGCAGTTAATTATACATTAGAATGAGTCGTCCACAAGATCTGCACAGACCTTCTTTCTCATTTGGCAATCCATTCCGGATGATATCACCTAAGGGTTCTTATTTGTCTCCAAAGCTTCTTGAGTTGTTGAACACATTTGAGGACACCTTGGCAAAGAGGCTTAGCAAGCTTAAGCCAAAAGACAGGAAAGAGGTACTTGGCTTGTCATGGATGAGATTAGCCATGGAGTCGCTTTGCGAAACTCATACTGACATAAAAACCCTGATTTCTAACCTTGATCTCCCTGTGTGTGACTGGGATGAGAAATGGATTGATGTGTACTTTGACAATAGCGTGAAGTTGCTTGATATCTGCAACGCTTTCAGTTCTGAGCTTGCAAAGCTCAACCAAGGCCACCTCTATCTTCAATGTGTCTTGCACAAGCTGGATTCATCGGAGCCGAAGCAGTTTTCAGGGGCGCGTTCTTCACTTGATGGCTGGAGGCAGCAAATTAATTCAAAGAATCGCAGACTTGAGAACTGTTTTGCCATCTTAGAGAAGCTCACTCAAACTCTTGACCTGCCTAAGGTTAAGAACTCAGCCAAAGGAAAGGTTTTAATGCGTGCTATGTATGGGGTTAAGGCGGTAACTGTGTTTATCTGTAGCATATTTGCGGCAGCCTTCTCAGGATCTGCAAAGAAGTTGATCGATTTACAAGTTTCTGACACATACTTGTGGGCAGAAGCTTTTGCGGATGTACAGACTTTTGTAAATAGGGAGATTAGAAGTAAACTTTCAAGTGGAATAGCTACGGCAGTTAAAGAGCTGGAAGCAGTTGATGCGAGCGTCAAAAAGTTGTACCCCATTATTCATGACGGGGCTAACCCTACTGGGGTCGAGGGACTCCGGAGTTGTGTTTCGGATTTTGGAAAGAAGGCAAATGAACTATCGCAAGGATTAGATCTTGTTGCGAAGGAAGTAGATGGCTTCTTCCAAATTGTTCTAACTGGACGCGATGCTCTGCTTTGTAACCTTAGAGTGAATAGTAAAGTCTCTAACTCAATGAAAGTGAAAAAGAATGTAGAAGGGCAAGCTGTGAGGTGATGACATCTGATGAAGCTAAACCCACCTCCATACACACACGGGGTAGTAGGTATGGTATTAAATATATTTTATTGAATATGGGTGTAACTTGTAATGGGTTAATCTTGGACTGTTCTTTATATGTTCTACTGTATCATGTAATGCTAATAATAAATAATATATATAGTGTTTTTAGTGTTTGCTTAAAAATTTTGTTGAAAAGTATGGTCATAATTGGATGGCTCATCTTAGAAGTTGACCGTGGATCCAGACCTCAGTGGGCCCTTAAAGTAATGTAATTTAAACAGTCTCAACTAATTGTAGTTTTTTACTAATTTCAGTAAACGTGGGCGGTCATTGACGAACCTCGATTTTGATCAATCAGTGTTTGGAAATATTTTGATTAAGTTGTCATTGGCCCTGGTATATGATTATTATTATTTTTGGTAATCAATTTTTTTTTTTTTTAAACTTAAATCATATCTAATGGTGAGGAATATACCATTAATACTTTTTAAATTTTAATTTTAATTTATATTTATTTTTGTCATGAAATAAATGGCAGAAAACGTTAGATGGCTGCTGGAATTGCTACATAGAAAAGCAGATAAGCTGTGAGGTGATGACATCTGATGAAGCTAAACCCACCTCCATACACACACGGGGTAGTAGGTATGGTATTAAATATATTTTATTGAATATGGGTGTAACTTGTAATGGGTTAATCTTGGACTGTTCTTTATATGTTCTACTGTATCATGTAATGCTAATAATAAATAATATATATAGTGTTTTTAGTGTTTGCTTAAAAATTTTGTTGAAAAGTATGGTCATAATTGGATGGCTCATCTTAGAAGTTGACCGTGGATCCAGACCTCAGTGGGCCCTTAAAGTAATGTAATTTAAACAGTCTCAACTAATTGTAGTTTTTTACTAATTTCAGTAAACGTGGGCGGTCATTGACGAACCTCGATTTTGATCAATCAGTGTTTGGAAATATTTTGATTAAGTTGTCATTGGCCCTGGTATATGATTATTATTATTTTTGGTAATCAATTTTTTTTTTTTTAAACTTAAATCATATCTAATGGTGAGGAATATACCATTAATACTTTTTAAATTTTAATTTTAATTTATATTTATTTTTGTCATGAAATAAATGGCAGAAAACGTTAGATGGCTGCTGGAATTGCTACATAGAAAAGCAGATTGCTTAGTTTATTCATTTATTTTTTTAAGAAAAACTATTTTTTTGGCCTAAAATTAATTTGGCCGGAAAATTGAGATTCCAGGTTAGTTTTGATTGGATTTGCTGATACGTCAGCGGCTACCAATATTTGTTTAAATTGAAATATTTGAAATGAATGACAAAAACAATACTATTAGTACTCCACAGAAAGAACTATCTCTATGTATTCCAATGTTGGATAAGAGAAAAATAATGTAGAAATTAGTAACAAAAAACAATATAAGAAGCCCAAAAGACGGTCTTGTGGATGATGAAGCCATAGTCTAATTTATACAGATTCCAACATGATAAATTTATAGGCTTCAAGTTTAAATTTAAGTTAATCTTCAGATCAAGGTCAAGCCAAGCCTTAACCAGAGATGAACCTTGAGGCTTGATTTAATGAAGCAAGCCAAGATTAAAGGCTTGAATTAATGAAGCAAGCCAAGATTAAACATCCATTCGTAGACAGGCTTAAAGCTCCAGCTGAGCATGAACGTCATTTCTGACTGCACCAAGCTTAAAGAGATCATATTCAGCTCAGCTTCGCTCATTTCAACCTATGCAAATATATTAATAGAAGAAACTCGTGTTTTAATATCCAATGAAGAGCAGACCAAACAATTCAAATTTTATGCACCATTTTCTCCATATTTAGTATAATTGTGTCCAGAATTAGATAATAAGTAATAACAAGTTCGGTTCAAGCATGTAATACACAATCAAATTATTACAAGACAGACATAGTCAAGTACTCTCCTTTTCTAAAATGAATGCAAATATTCAATTCACAGAACTACTCTTCTGCTTCAGCATTAAAAGAAGAATATATTATTACTCCACAACTGGGTAAAGATGCAGGACAATATTTATGGATCAAACTAAAATCTATTGGTACAACTTACAATAGGAGAAAAATACGTCTCATTAGAGGCTTCAAAAACAAATGTTGTGCCACTTCTGAATGTTATGCCACACAGATGATGATATGGTCAGTTTGCAAGGACCGAAAAATTCTAAACTCCTCTCTTCTATACAAGTGTGAACAAATTCTATAGAATTGTTCAAAACGGTATAAAATTGTACAAAATATTTTAAAATTTTCTAGCGTTGTATAAGATAATTCTTTGAAATATTATAACTCCTAATGTAGAATAATTCTGACCGTTAGAATTTTGTATTATTCATTTCAAGGAATGTATATATTCCCTAAAACTTATAATAACTTTAGTTTCCAAATTCTAAAACCTAGTTGATATGATACATATTATAAATTAATATAATGCACTTAAAAAATACCCACCATAATATTTTATATGTATATACGTATTTGGAAGAAAAAAAAATAAAAAGAATAAAGATTAAAGGGATAAAAATAGATATTAAAAAAAATGGTAAAAATAAGATCTCCCCAATTTCATAAGTTCATGAGTTAATTTACTTTTGGAAAAAAAATGTCCCTCAAAAAGGGAGAAAAAGTTAAAGGAAGGAACTCAACTGATAATTATAGGTATAATAGGAATTTAAAATATAACTTAGTTTTTCGAGAAACAAAATTTTTTTGCGTGTTTAATACAGGAATCGTTTTAGAGAAAATTAGCTATTTGCGGAATCCAAGTTTTAAAAAACTTTCTGTCCAGTTTTTTAAAAACCTTGTGTGTCATCTTAAAAAACACATAAAAAGTTTAAATATAACACACAAAAAATTTAAATATTTTTCTATTCTTTTTCTTTTTTTTTTGGATAGTTCTATGTAACCGAACGAAATAATAAGGTGACAACTGGAGTTGAATTGGAGACATTCCTAAAGACTGGATGAAAATTTTATAATTATTCTACCTTGGGTCACGCGCACGTATTTGGCTCTGTTTGGAACTTTGGACCTAAGCTAAATTGCCAATGAAAAAGAAGTTTTTGTAATGGACCTCAAACACTACTACGTATCTGACAGTAGTATTCTACGTAGAGGATTCTTTCTTTAAAAAAGAAGTATACACCACGTGGTTTTGAAATAACTAAATGTTTTGACTTTTAATAATAATATAAATTTATATAATAAACACATTAGCTTTTTGTTGTTAATTTTTTATTTATTTTATTTTAATTAGTAAAAAATTACACTCATTCTCACTTTTGTATAATGTTCCATTTGATTGAAGAAATATAATAATAAATGGAAGGAAGGGGGAGAGAAATGAATAAGACATATAGTTGTTTTTTAACTTTTTATTTAATTAAAAATTAAATGGAATGAATAATACTCCATAGAAAAGATGAATGAAGTGTGGATGGAAGAATTTTTTTTTTTTTTTTTTTCTATATTATTTATTAAATTATAAAAATTAGATATCAATTTTAAATTTAAAGGCATAGGTTAAAGATATAATCCCTAAAATTGGACAGAGTTCCTTTCCCTTTCCCTTGCCCTTTCCCTTCAACCAAACTTAACGTAATAAACTTGAACCTTTACCTCTGACTTTAAAAATTGAAGCAGTAGCATTAGGCTATAGTGCCTTTGGTTTCGTTCACAAACAACCCTGTTCTCATTTCCACTTTCACCATCAGAACACAATGCGATAAAACCCATTATTTCTCACCTCTCTGTGTCCGCGTGTTTTCTTTTGTATGCATATTTAGAGGTTCAAAAATTTACTGGATATTGATAGGAATGGGTTTTCTTGGAAGTAGTCTTTCATTGAAGAGGGATCATCATCCAATTCACTTTCTTCATCAGCAACAAACAGGAATGGGTGGGTTTGATTTTGGGGAGGATATAAACTCTGGCTTTTGGTATGTATTGCCACTTCCCGTAAATCTTTCTTTTGTTTGCAATGTGTTTGAATGTTTGATATGAATGCGTTGATTTTCAGCTGTTATCACATGGAGTGACGAGTATCATGTTGAGTGGGCTTATTTGTTTCTTGGGTACGTTTTTGCTTGGCTATTCTAGTATTTTATTTATTCTTTTTCAATCGTTTGGAAGTTCCATCTTCAAGTTAATTACATGTTATAATCGATCTGTACTTATTTGATCCCTACGTTTAGGTGTTTGTGCATCTTCTGGTTGATCCACAGCAGATAATGACGGTTACTGTTGCAGCTGCATTGCGGGAGATTGGTTACATATATAGTTGTGGTAATCATAATTCTCAGTTTTTATTTTTATTATATATATATATATATATAGTTCAAATTTTAGATGTTGAGGGAGTCTAATTGAATTACCTTCGAGTTTTCAGTCAAGAATCAAGATTGCTGCCAGCGTCCTCTCATAGTGTAATGCTGGTCTCGGCTGACACGTGTCATAGTCCATTAATCTGGAAATCTTCTGCTTAATTCATTAATCATAAACATGTGTCTTTGTTCATCAATAATGCTTTTTATTTGAGAATACTCACCCAATCCACAAAGTTAAAATTTGGAGATTAAGGTATCTTACTCATACAAATGATTTAAATGGGAAGTGGGTTTTCAATATGGTCCTGTGCATGCTGTTTGGAGAAACACTGGAGTTCCGGTTGACATCATGGAAACTGGTGGGAAGATGAAGATCATTGTAGATTTACTAAAGTATGATTGTCATATTCAATTTCTCATATATTTGAACTTCTACACTTATTTTAATCACTAAAAAGTTTGAAATGGTAACAAACTTAGGATCTTCCTTTCCTTCTACCATTAATTTAACAAGAGTCTGTTCAGTTCTTTTGCTGTTATAATGGGTATCCTTGGTCCTCGCATCATTTTATTTTTCAGTTACCTCATTGCTTGGGGGGTGGGGGGGGGGACCCTCATTTTCTCCTGTTGTATGTCCATCAGCATTCAGCATCAATCAACTAGTCTCATGTAACTTTGCAATAAAAATAATTCAAACGCTTTTGAATATCTCATCAGTGCTAGTTTATAGTTGACACGATATCATTTTTGGTCTATCTTCTGTTGTAACACAATCTACAAATGTATTGCTAAATTATTAGCCAACAAGCTCAAATTGGCTCTACCTTCTTTGATCGATCCTTGCAAGAATGCCTTTGGCAAAGGTAGGAATATTGGAGATAGTGTTTTGCTTGCTCAAGAGCTCTTACAGGGGTATCACAAGCACCTAAGACCACCTAGGTGTGCTATTAAGGTTGATTTGATGAAGGCTTTTGATTCTGTGGGCTGGGATTTCATGTTGGATGCTCTTCTACTTTTTGGTTTCCCTTCTTCATTCATTGGATGGGTCAAAGCTTGTATTACTACTCTAGCATTTACAGTTTCACTCCATGGGGAATTCAATGGTCATTTTAAAGGAGTTAAAGGTCTAAGGCAAGGGGATCCATTATTTCTGCTTCTTTTTGTCCTAGCAATGGAGGTGCTGTCATCAATCATTAACGGATTCATTGCCAAAAGACCCTCATTCAAGTATCACTCTAGATGCAAGAAGCTTTCTATCTCTCACTTGATTTTCGCAGATGATCTTCTACTTTTTTTGTCACGGGGATATCCTATCAGTTTCTACTCTCAAGCAGGCACTGGACCACTTCACTACCATCTCTAGTCTGTGTATAAATAGCTCAAAAAGTGTGTTTTTCACTTCAGGGATTGACATTAATTTGACTAATGATATCAAGACCCTACTTGGGTTTGAGTGTGGTGAGCTGCCTATTAAGTACCTTGGTGTTCCCCTAATCTTCTCTAGGCTCAAAGCAGCTAATTGTAGAGGGCTAGTGGAGAAGATCACTCGTAGAGTGGCTCATTGGTCATCCAGTTTTCTTTCTTATGCGGGAAGGATTCAACTTATTAATTCAATCGGTTTTGTATAGTATGTCTAACTACTTGTCCTCCCTATTCATCCTACCTATGTTAGTCATCACGGAGGTTAACAGTATCTTGAGGAATTTCCTATGGTCAGGTACAGAGTACAAACACACGGGCAAAGATCACCTGGTGGTCGGTGTGTCAGCCTAAAGAGTGTGGTGGTTGGGATTTAAGAATTTGGCCTTAGCTAATTTGGCTTCTAATCTACAACACTTATGGTCTATTGCCTCTAACCAAAGGGACAGCTTATGGGCTAGATGGGTGAATGTTTAACTCATTAGAGATAGATGTTTATGGACAATTAACACTCCTCAGGTCTGCTCTGCCAATTGGAAGAGGATCGTACAGCCAAAGGGAGTTGCTAGGTCAATGATGAAGAGAAAGGTTGGTTCGGGATGTCACACATTTTTTTAGGGGGACAATTGGATTGGTGGAGTCCTTCTCTCTCACAGATGCACTACGGAGGCAATCCAGAATTTTGGCATTCTTCCCAATCAAAAACTATCATCACTTGTGATCAACAATAAGTGGAGCTTCCCACCTGAGGTAATTGATGATTTCCCAGAGCTCATTATGGTTTATCCTCCCGCTGAAGCCCATGATTCTTCCATTTGGATCCTCTCCCCTAATGGCACATTCTCTGCATCCCACACAATGTTTTGGCTAGCACCTCACCATCAGCAAAAAACATGTCACCACTTGGTCTGTAGTTTATTCTCAGTTCCAAGATGTAAGTTCACTCTTTAGCTGGCTGTGCAGAATTGACTTTCCATTCTTGACCGTAGGTGTATGAGATCTGCTCCTGGCTCCAAAATTTGCCTGCTCTGCCAGAGAGAAGACGAATCACACAACCATCTGTTTTTTTATTGTGATTTCACTAAACCAATTTGGATTTCCATTCAAGACAGATGCCAAGTCCATATTCCCCCCTTAACATGGAATCAATTGGTTATTCACGCCTCAGATTGATGAAAAAATCAAAGCATCTTCACCAAGGTATGTAAGCTCGCACTCTCCACCACCGTGAACAGATTGTGGACAAAGCGCAACAGCAGGAAACATAAGAATCAGAGGCGTTCGCAGATGGAAATTCTAAAACAAATCATGGACATGGTTAGACAAAGGTTACTTACAAGAAAGGTTAATGATTCTGCACAGGCTAGAAAAGTACAGCTTGACTTGGATCTTCCCGAATTTATCTAGCCACCGACGGAGCCACCGGACTAATTGATCGGCGAGATAGTTTCGGATCAGATTTGCCTCACCCGCCGTCTTTCACCTACTCTCAGAGTTAAATCAACTTGTTTTTGGTTTTCTTTCTCTAGGCAATGATCGGTGGGATGATTTTGGATCTGCTCTGTTGCCGTCCTTTTTCACACACCAAAATGTGGGTGGCTTACACAAAGGTGTTAGCGCTGACCACTGATTCTGGATACAATTAGGGTTAACTTCTAATTACTTGTAACCTTGCCTTAGAATAGGCATGGGCTGAAAGCTGTTTGGGCTGTGTTTGGGGGCTATGGCCCATCTGTACATTTGCACAGTTATATATAAAACTTTACTTTCCGGAAAAAAAAAAAATAATAAAATAAAAAAAAATAAAAATTGAAATGAATTCATATGGAGCAAATAATAAAAGAATACACGGAAGATTATCAGTGTGTGATATACACCCAAATAAAGGGTAATTGTAATACGCCTAATTTTAAAAGGATAGTTTCAGCATTTTAATTATGGTTTTATTGTATTTTTGTGTGATTAATTGATTATTTGCTAACTTGTTTAATTGTTTAATTATTTATTTTATTTAATTGTTTAATTGTGTATTTAATTACATTTTTTATTAATTGGTTGTTTAATTGAATTAATTATTTTTTTATTTTCTTTAATTGACTAATTGTATTTTTATTTTTCTTCATTGGAAATTACATGTTTTAATTGGATTAAATTAGTGTAATAGTTATAATGTTACAATTAGGTTTTATTCTTTAAGAAATTACGTATGGGCCGACAAAGGTTCAGTTTAGCGTTTTAATTGGACATAGGATTTGTAATTTCCTATAAATATATATGTCATACGTCTGCCTAGGGTTTTAGAACCCTATTCACGGCACAGTGAAGACAGAGCGACATAACAGAGACTTGTGAGAAAACAGAGCAAGTTCGGTGAGGGTTTTGGCTGTGGCTTAAAGGTCGGACCTAAGAGGAAGGAAGGCTGAGTAGTAGGAGGTTGAGTTGACAGTAAACGAACGTCGTCGGAAAGCTTAGGAAAACGGCGACAAGGTTTTGACGCATAATGAATCGGTAATTATTTTTCATGGTTATGTTAATGTAAACGGTTCTAAATAAATGACTAGAATAATACTGGATGTAATTTAAGACCCTTAGGTTCAGTTTTAAGGAAGAATAAAAGGGTTGGAAGCGGCCGGAGATGAAGCAAACGAAGCAGAATGGTTCAGAGCTCTCAGAAAGGGAGAAAGCCGGCTCCATGGAAGAGAGAACCGCCTCCCTCAAGTGCAGAGTAGGCTTTGGGGGGTTTAGAGCCGGCTCCCACCCTTCTAGAGCCTGTTCCAATGGGCATGGAGGCGGCTCCATGCTTGGTTAGAGCTTGCTCTAAAGGTTTAAGACGTGTTTGGTATTCTGGATTGTTTCAAGGATTGTACTGAGGGTTCTAAACATAATTTCAGGGGATATTAAAGCCTCTAATCGCATAATTTATTCCGTATTGCTAATATAATGAACAATATAAAAGTAGACAACTTTGCATACTGTTAACGGTTGGAAGGAAATTAATTGCTTAATTTAATTGTGGCGATTTAACGAATTATAGCATGAATATAAATCTTGTTTTGGATGCGCACTAGAGTCGTTTATTTATCAGATTTGATCTATACATACTCTGAATTTTAATTGCAGAAATATTAAACTCTTTTCTGCAATTACATGGATTAAGGCTTGGATTTTAATTGCTGAAATATTATACACTATTCTGCAATTATCTGGATTATGGTTTTGAACTTTAATTGCAGAACTGTTATTTATGTTCTGTAATTTACATGGTTTTGGACTTTAATTGTTAAACTGTTATTTAGGTTATGTAATTACATGGATGTTGTGGATTGTATGCACCGGTATGGGACGGTGGCATATTAGGGATGGTTAGCTCAGAACGCTAAGACCTACCCTATTGGAATAAGGGAATGGATTGTAAAAATTGAATCCTACTTATATTTAGGTCAGATCAACTGAGTAAGTTGAGTGACTACATGGATTAATTGTTGTTTGTAGTTAAGTCAGATCAACTGAATAAGTTGAATGACTAACTGGATTATAAATCTTATGCCATATTAACAAAGAACTGAGTGACATACTCTGGTTTTGGACGGACTTTAAATATATGAATATGGTACCACGATATGAGCTTGAGTCTCAGAGTCGATGGTCAAGGCGCGTATATGCAGTGGATGCGTAGCTGGTTATGATAGGTTGAGGTGTACCCTGTTAGGCTTAGGTAATCTACCCACTCAGGTGCGTTTTACATGTTGCCTTCTATTCAGGTTGAGACCCCTTTGTAGTCCAGTGAATGTCCTTTAGTGTGGGTATATATATATTTATAGACTAGATAGATATTGTGAGATATCAATGTATCTGCGTATCGGGTCACTCTATGGATTGCAGTTAGAATAGAACTTGTTCATGGGCCTGACCCACTCTTATATTTTTTCAAGTACCGGACGGTTCCAACCTTAGAGCTTGATCGTGCTTATCAGAGACAGTCACTTATTCATCTGTTTACGTATGACTTTTCTCTATGTTTTAGTTTGGGATTTTATTTTCAGTTATTCAATTTCAGTTGGGCTTTTGTTTAGGGGTCCACTAGATGGATTCCCGAGTTGTACTCTTGGAGGTTTTGGAGAGTTGGATTATTATTTTTCATTATCATTTTGAGGATTTTATATTAGTAATTCCTTCAGCTTTGTTATTTATTTCTTAAATCGTTTTGCATTCCTGCTTGTTTATATATTAATTATTGGATATCCCCTCGGGTTTAGGCTTGGGCCTGATCAACCCATGTCTCGGAGTCGATGGGTATCACAGTTGGTATCAGAGCACTCCAAGTTCAAGTGTCTCTAGGGTATTTCGTATTAAGACTTCCGCGTAGCGTTTTCTCTTTATTAGAGCTTAAGTTTAGGATTCATTGTATTCCTTTACGATCCGTTTAAATCGTACTGATGTCTGTCTTTCTGTGTTAACAGCATGGTTAACGCTAGAAGAGGACTACAAGGAAACAATCGACAAATGAGAGCGACACGTAGGCAACAAGAACACCTGCGACATCAGCAAATGGAGGAAGAGCAGCAAATGCCTGGGTTTTAAGATGATGACGGTTAGTTCTAGGAAGAACAGGAGGAGGTTCAGTAGGTTCAGGATCGAGGAGATCCAGAGTATTTTTCTCATATCAATGACCTCATTGCTCGGGCTATAGAAGCAGGGGTAATAGTTGCACTTCGGAATCAGCCACAGGTTTAGCAGGCACCGATACTAGCACCGGTTGTTCAGACTGATACTTAGGAGAATGCTAGGAGTTATTTCACAAAGGGGAGCCCACCTGAGTTCTCTGGCTCCACCGATGCGAAAGCAGCTCATCAGTGGAAGAAGGATATTAAGCGACATCTTCGTCTTGTTCAGTGCACGGAGGTTCAGAAGTAGATGTTTGTTACCTTCAAGCTAGTTGGAGATGCACTACAGTGGTGGGAGTCAGTTACTATCGCAGATGAGAGGATGTCATTGATTTATGATCAGTTTAGTGCACGTTTTGATGAGAAGTACTTTCTTTATACATTCAGGGCAGCAATGAAGATTGAGTTTCTTAATCTGCAGTAGAGAAACATGACAGTGGTAGAGTATGAGCAGCAGTTCACGCGCTTATCCCTTTTTGCTCCAGAGGGTGTGGATACAAAAAAGAAGAAGCACAATAGTTTCGTTAAGGGACAGATGTGGTCTATTAAGCGAGTTATTATAGGGATTCCAGCCTACACTACTTATGCTTAGGTGGTGGACGCCGCTTTACAGCAGTATCAGTTGATTGTGGACTTCAGACAGGCACGGGGTGAGAAGCGAAGTGACAAAGACTCTGTTAATCAGTCAACTGAGAAAAGGAATGGCAATGGACACCGATAGAATAATAAGGGCAAATTCCAGGGACAGCAGCCTTGGAAGAAGCACAAGGGTGGTTCAGATGCTCACAAGGATGGGGCACCTATTTAGAGGCAGCAGAATGAGGGACCACAGGCAGGACAGGGTCACCCACCGGCTAATCGACAGAGGAGGTCATTTGGTACTTTCCAGGGCAGTTGTTACACTTATGGAGAGTATAGTCATACTTCTAGGCAGTGTCCTAAAACAGGATAGGGACAGGGACAACATGTACAACAGGGACAGAGGACACCAGTACCTTTACTCGCTCCATAGGTTCTATCGATTCAGGGACAAACATATCTAGCTTTACCAGTATCACCACAAACTCAGGGACAGGCACCGCAGTAGTTGTATTATGGCAGAGTGTACAACCCCATGCCACAGGATGTTCAGGCACCTCAGACTATTGAGGGTATGTTTCTTATTCATGGTTCATATGGACATGTTTTAGTTGATACGGGTTTTACACACTCATTTGTATCTTAATCTTTTGTTGCTTTATCTGAGATGACGATACGGGTATGCAGTAGACCTCAGGGTATTTCTACACCTTTAGGTAATACAGTCATTTTACATGAGAGTAATGGACTTGTGACACTAGATATTGGTAGACTCAGATTTCTAGCCAATCTATTGGTCCTGAACATTCACACTTATGATGTGATACTTAAGATGAACTGGTTATCACATTACCATGCCCAAGTTAATTGTTATAATAGGTTTATTATGCTCACCATTCTTGGTCAGGATATGTACGTCGTCGCTATGCCACGTTCGAATGGGGTTACAAGCACATATTTATTCTATATGGAAGAGGAGATTACTGTGTCAATTGATAGCATACCAATCGTACAGGACTTTCTGGATGTGTTTTAGGAGATTCCAGGGTTGCCACCTAGTCGTGAGATCGACTTTGTGATTGATTTAGCTCCAGGCACTAC